CCACCCTCTGTCCTCCTACTGTCCTCCTACCACCCCACTACCCCGTCACAGCCCCCCTACCACCACCTGCCCCACCACCCCCTGCTCCAGCCCCCCACTACCCCTTGTCCTGTCACAGTCTCCCACCACCTCCTACCCTGTCACAGTCCCCCACCACCTCCTACCCTGTCAAAGCCCCCTACCGCCCCCCACCCTCTCACAGCTCCCCTACCCTGTCACCCCACACCCATCCAATCACAGCCTTCCCACACACACACGCTGTCACAGCCTTCCACCGCACACCTTGTCATTCCCCACCCATACCCTATCATTACCACACACACTGACACCCCATTCACATACACTATCACCATTCCCAAACACTTTCAGATCCCACACACAGTCGCCCCCTAAACCCAGCCAAACTTACATAGCCCCTCCTAATCCTGTCACTCTCACCCACTGCAACCATACCAAACTCTTTGCTTTGCCACACCTACCCTATTGCATTAACCCCCCCATCAATCCTGTCAGACTCACCTTCTCTTGCACTGTCACACTCACCCCCCGACCCTGTCACTCATCCTCTATCAGTCTGTCCCACTCACCCCCTTCACCCTGCCACACTCACCCTATTACATAAACCCTTACAATCCTGTACTCCAACTGTGCAACACCCAAACCCTGTCACACATAGGTAGACAATGTCAGATACAGTCATATATACATACACCGCCACTTATGTATATACGACTGCAAGGCTATGCAACCATACCCCTCAGTCATGTATAAACGATTGGCATAATTGCTAATTCAATTTGTTTATTGCAAATTAAGTTAGTTTGCATATTATGCCATAACTACAGTCAGAGAGATAACAATGCAGTGGCACAGCGAGCCGCGACACTGCAAGCCTCTGAACGATGAATACAGAGACTAGCTCTCTGTATCCAGCACTGCAAGCTTGTCCTTCAATACAACTACAGCACCTTATACACACAATGCAACCCCTATTTTTAACTTTAGGTGTTAGTGGGGGCCTCATGTTTGAGTTTTGACTAAGGCCTCACAAAGTCTAGAGCCGCCACTGATGTCATTCTTTCCTATTGTTCGCCCCTTAGTTTAGCACTTTATGTGAATTCATGATTCAAGGTTCTGCGGCACCAAAAAAAGAAATTATTGAATGTGATTAAAGGGAGACTATGCTAGTTACCAAAACAACTTTAGCTTAATGAAGCAGTTTTGGTGTATAAATCATGCCCCTACAGGCTCACTCTTAAATTCTCAACCATTTAGGAGTTCTCTGAGGCACCTGTCACTGCCTCTGCAAAAGCAGGAGTCTCTCATCTCTGAGCTAAGCCTGAAGGTGGAGGGCTTAATTCATTGGATGAGAGAAATCAGCTGACACTTTAAGCCAATGAACTTGCTCTGTACGGCAGGGCTTAGCTCAGAACAACTACGGGAAGTTCCTAGCAGGAGCACTGGTGGAAGTGACTGTGTTCTTATCCCAGTTAAGAAGTCAAACCATTAGCAAACAGGTTGACTACTTACATTGGGGGGGCACGAGGGTACTGCAGACACCATAACCACCACAGTGTGCCGCAACAGTTAGGGTGCTTGGAGTATTCCTTTAACCCCTTAGTGACCAGACCGTTTTTCAATTTTTTTACCATTAAGGACCAGGGCTCTTTTTACATTTCTGCGGTGTTTGTGTTTAGCTGTAATTTTCCTCTTACTCATTTACTGTACCCACACATATTATATACCGTTTTTCTTGCCATTAAATGGTCTTTCTAAAGATACCATTATTTACATCATCTCATATAATTTACTATAAAAGAAATAATAAAATATGATGAAGAAATTTTACAAAACACACCTTTTCTAACTTTGACCCCCAAAATCTGTTACGCATCTACAACCACCAAAAAACACCCTGTGCTAAATAGTTTCTAAATTGTGTCTGAGTTTAGAAATGCCCAATGTTAACATGTTCTTAGCTTTTTTTGGAACGTTATAGGGCTATAAGTACAAGTAGCACTTTGCAATTTCCAAACCATTTTATTTTTCCAAAATTAACAAAAGTTACATCGTAACACTGATATCTGTCAGGAATCCCTGAATAACCCTTCACATGTATATATTTTTTAAAAGAAGACAACCTAAGGTATTAAACTTGGGGTATTTTGACTCTTTTCATAAAACCATTTTACCACCAATCTATGACAAATTTAAAAATAAAATAATTGGTGATTTTTTGGACACACATTGCAATTTAAGAATACATGTACGAAGAACTTTAAGGGTTACTGCCAAAGAACACCCCAATATGTGTTCAACAACATCTCTTGAGTACAGTGATACCCCCTCATGTATCGATGTGTAGGGTTCTTTAGGGGCTAAAAGACCTTATTTGGAGGGTGCGCATTCCAGTGTTCCAATTTGGAATTTTCTCAGCTGGTCATCATGAACCCATGTCCTATTTGGGACATTTTTGAAGCCGGCCAATATAATTTACCCC